GGAAGTAGTTGACTAAAACTAAATGCCTATAATTTATATTAATAAATGCATAAATATATAAATGCATATTATGCAATATGACCTGACTATGGATTTTTACTCTTATACACATTCAAAACCATTTAGATCAGTGTTTTTCAACCTTTTTTGTGCAAAGGCACACTTTTTTCATGAAAAAAATCACGAGGCACACCACCATTAGAAAATGTTAAAAAAATTTAACTCTGTGCCTATATTGACTATATATAAGGTGTTTTCCCCACGGCACACCTTACACTATGTCACGGCACACTAGTGTGCCGCGGCACAGTGGTTGAAAAACACTGATCTAAATGGTTTTGAATGTGTATAAGAGTAAAAATCCATAGGTCAGTCATAATTGCATAATATGCATTTATATATTTATGCATTTATTAATATAAATTATAGGCATTTAGTTTTAGTCAACTACTTCCTGGAAAGACAAATTTTCCAAACATGTTGCAACATAGAACACAATAGCTTAATACACAGGCAGGACAGGAAATAAATATCTATTTATCTATCTACAATAATAAAACTTTTCAGAGATAAAGTACGAAGTCTTTTGCTGTATGGCCTGTGGTTTAGGGGGTAATTCTTTAGCCCAACTTTTACTGATAGATATAATTCCCTAAGGAAAAAACAAATAATATTCGATGTATTCATTATTTAATTTATTTAGTCGCCCATCTCAAATTCATAACTCTGGATGGCTAACAGTAGTTAAAAGCACTGAAAAACAGTATATAACAATAGAAATAATGCATACATAATTGACAGCTGAGATAAACAAAAAACAAAATAAAACAACTTGGTTTTACAAGTTTTGCTGATCTGCAGTCTATATTTAAACTGGGCTTAGATAAAGCTTGGATTGAAGTGAAGAAGAAAACCTCAGATCTGTATGTACAAAAGGATAGGTTTAACATTTCTATAACTCTTCCACAAAAAAACACACATCCACACTTCACTACTTTTGAAATCTAAGCAGTTCTGGAGTACTTTCTCCCAATGTAATATCCTATTCATTATTTTTGTCTTACCTTATATAGTTTGACCTTTGTACTATTTTTATTAGTACTTTTTTATGCAAGAAAGTACAAGAGTTTCTTTGATTGTAGAGTGTTAAATCAATTTTTTAAAAAACTTTTGACCATATAGTGTATGTGTGTCTTCATATGGAAAAGTGCCCATACTGGAAGAATAGTTAATTCTCAGTTTTGCAAATCATTCTTCGTTTCTATGGTTTTTGACCATAAATAGATGATGATGACGATGATGATGACGATGATGATGACGATGACAATGAAAAATTTAGACAATTTATGAAAAAAATCATGAGTAATAAGAGGTTCTGAATGTGAGAGTTCACAGTACAGAAAACTGCTAAAATATGTTTGGAACACCAACTTTTCTTAACTTATAAAATTGATAGCATATCCGGGGGGTGGGGGGGATAGAGGTAGTTTGGGAATGTCTGGCTTTTTGGGGAGAGAGATCTTGAAATTCGAAAGGTCATATTTACACAAATGAATGCTTTGACGGGAAGCGCTGGGGTGTGTTTTCCTGCACATTTTTATCTTGAAGCCAAATGTCATTAGGAAAGATAATGCCAACTTCCTGTCATAAAACAAAGAAGTCTGATATGAATTTTGAATGTATGATACTTAGATATATTTTCACATGCTCCTTTCTCCCATCTCTAAGATCCGTTAGAAAAAGGATTTTATTGCTTGGTAACTTCAACTGCCCTGAAAATCAGTATGCTGTAATTTATGATGAAGAAACAAGTAATTTAAAATGATCCCCCCACCTCACTTCAACAAGGAGGTTTGCTTGTTTTTGTAATGGCTCTTGGCTTGTACCCGATAAAAGACCAGTGTAGAAAAATGAGAAGGAAGCTTAATAAAACCCATTTCGTGAATGTGTAGAAAGAAAAGGAGATGCTGATCATTAAATAAGCAGCTAGAGCCGTTGATACAAAAGGGAAGAGAAAAAAGCTGAGGGGAAGCGATGCTGCTTTGAAGAACTAGCAACTCTTTGTGCTAGTTCACTTCACTTTCTGCTCAATCTTTGTTAATTTTTTCTTATATTCCTTGCAGGAGTCATAGCATTCTGGGAAGAATATTCAATATGCCCACTAAGGTTTACAACTCAATTGCAAAAATGGCTCTTTCTACTCTCAAACATTTTGCTTTGATGGACAATGGAAAGGAATCTTTTCCAAATGGTAGCATTGGGTAATAAGCAGGATATACCGCTATTTTTCCAGGAAAAAGCCTGACCTTTCTTTTATTTCACTGATGTTTACATACGCAGCTATTGAAAGTAAAACCTCTCTCCAATCAAATTTATCTTGTGGTGATTTCCTGGATACATTCATATAATTTTCTTTCCAGTTTAGCCTACAGCCCTGCGATTCCCTGTAGATCTTCTATTCAAATATTGGTTGGACCCAAACCTGCTAATTGATAAAGCACAAACCAGACTCAAACCTGTGTTTTCCTCCAGTCCAAAGTCATCCGATGTTAATAGCATGTGGGGAAAAAACTTGAGAGATGGGGTAAAGAGATGCTGCTTAGGGAATAGTCAGTTAAGAGACAACAGCTACATAGTGGGAGGAGAGAAAGTGGAGCAAGAGGCTTAGGCTCTCTGGGTTATTGGATAATAAAGATGATGGCAGGATAATTCCACTTTCAGATTTGCAAGATGCTGTTACTATAATTTTACAATACAGTAGAATTAGCTTATGTGCTTGAGTTTACTTAATGAGCTTGACATCCAGATAGTGCACCATTAATACCATTAAATACCATTGTATTTGGGCTAGAAGGAACTTAAATTATTATGAAAATATAGATTACATGCTTTTAGAGTAGATTAGGGCTTTGGAGAAATAACAAACAAATTTGAAGAGAGAAATGCTCCAAAAAAATAAGCATTTAAGAATAGTTTTCTTGGATATCTGTATGATCTCTTCTGGACCCTGATATACTGTAGGTGGCACAAAGGACACAACTCTTTGATCATAATATCACAATTCTATGAAAGCATAATGTTACTTAGAATTCTAACTTGAGAATATTACACGCTGCATTTTGCCCTCTTAGTACCCTGCTAACAAAATCCTCAGTGATAAAGATATGTAGAGGCTAGAACAAGGGACAAAACAAAAGTACATGGAAACATTTTTCTGCCATCAACTTAAAAAAAAAGATTTGTCAATATATTGTTATGGTTGATTGCTAATGGTAATATAAGGGAGGTTATTGGGGAAGGGAAGAATTTGAAGGGAGAATTTTGTAGTATAGGCAAGATTGAAGATAAAAGAGTAAGCAATGGAGTAGACTGTTTTAAGAGTGAAGGGTATGCAGTTTGTAGAATGCTGCAAATAAAGAGTTGGACTAAAGGCAAGCAATGGGAGACAGGATGTGAAGATAGTAAGGAAGAAGAATATGGACTGAGCAAAGATGGAGCTTAGAGGAGGTATATGTAAGACAGAGTTATTATAGCACATCTCATCTTCCTTGGAGCTGATTCTTGGTCTGGTCTACCTAATGAGGCTGACAGTCCAACTGGTAGATTGAAAATTTGCTCCCATGGAGAGACAATGCGTAATGAGCAATGAATGATGAACGGTATTCCATATTCATTGCGTAGGGAAATGAGAGGAAGATACTTGTCATATTATAAAATACTAGCAGCAGAGGTATATAAGGAAGGTCAGAAGTTCTGTGAAAATTTGAGGGAAAGGCTATTAGGAAGTTGTATAAATGGGGTAGAAAGTGAGTATTGTGGGTAGGATTGTGGTGAGGGTTGATAGATGGATGTTTGGATAATGGTTATCATTCAGGGGGGTAGATGATTGACTATAAATTGGATTTAGTGCTCCTACAAAAATGCTCTGCATATTATGGTCAGAACCAGGAAAAACAAATAGTACAAAATACTAGAATCATTGATGAGGGAGGGCAGTATTGACATAATGATGAACAAAGAAATGTATTTCAGGAAGCACTCGATAGATGATTATAGGAGAAGGAAGACCCACACATTGGGGAAGATCTGTTCTTTTTAACAAGTTGTTCCAACCATGGGCTAAGATAGCTGAAACATTCGGTACCACAGAGTTATGTTGTGCTGATGTGGTATTACCCTAGAAGACTATTCAGAAACTAGTAGATCCAAAATGTAATTGCCCATTTATTGACTGTTGTTTGGTGCCAAGGAAACTCAACTGCTGCTTTCTAATTGATGTGCTTCTGGGTGAAATTCAAAATATTGCTTTGACTTATAAAGCCCTATGTACTTTCCCCTGAAGTATTTTCAGGACTGCCTTCTCCCATCAGAATTGGGCCACCAATCTCATTTTGAATGTCTTGGGAGGATGCTATTTTTCATTACCTCCAGGAATTCAAACTTAACTTTCTAGAGGTATTGAATATAGCACATACTATTTCAAAGAACTTGTGGAAGTTGAAATAATGTTTGGCTGATAGCATCATAATAGTTTGCAATGTTTGTTTTAGTTTTTACCATGGATAACTTTATTATTGTTCTTTGTCTCTTGATGGTTACATACCATGGAACATGCTGCTCCCTAGAGGGACACTTGGCCCTTTCTTTTCCAGCATTCTGAAGACGTGGAAAACAACATTTCAGCTAGCTTTTGATTCCTTGCAGTAAAAATAAGCAACATGATTAATGTTTTAGTATTTTAATGATTCTCTGGAGACACGTATTTTTTGCTCTTGTTTTATTGATGAGTTTATTTACACTGCTGATTAGGATAGAATAGAAATATTATCAAAAGTAAAGACACTGAGAAAAATATCATTTGCCACAAGGAATTTAACTGAAAGATCAAGGGACAAAAGCTTACAAAAATAAATGAAAAAGATTTAGAAAAGTGAGGAAGCTCCACTTACATTAAACAAGACAAAAGAAACAAAACAAAATTGAAATATATAAACTATGTTGGTTCTCTTCTAGGATTCTAAGGGATTCAACCCGCACCAGTCTACTCTATGGAATTGAAAAGCAATCAACCATGCATATTATGAAGGCAACAACAGTTTAAATGAATATGTGGTCCAAGTTCTGCTTCTCTACTTGCCTTAAAAAGATGCTTACATTTCTCTGTTGACATAGTTGAGCTTTCCACACTACAGTGAAATGGATTGGCTGTTAGCTCCCAAATCATCCAGCTAAAAGAAAGATTTCAACAGTGACCTAAAATTTGAGAGTTTTCAGTAATCATGTTCAGTGGCCGATTGTGATCATCCCTACTCTTAGAGATGTGGAAGAATGGTTAGATTATCAACTCTGGACCACTAATTAGATTCATGCTTGGTAGCTAAAGGAAAGTATCTTCTTCTCTGCCTTCTTCTCCCCGTCCAGTACAACGTCAAATATAGATTTCCTAGAGTTTAGAACTGTACAATTTTTAATAGAAAACTTGTTCTATATTTCTATTATGGCAGTTCTATCAGGAGTGGTAAAGCTTTTAAGTCTCTGCACTTAATTTTATTTGAAGTTGTTTGTGAAAGTTTCTGCATATGTGCATTATTTATAAACAAATGTCCTACAGGTATTTCTCATGTTATTTTTCTAAACTATTTGTAGAATACTTCTTTATACATATAACCATATAATATATTTGAATAAAATACCACATAGTATATGTGCCTATTAGTAACATGGATGTGCTAAATACGCAATAGTCAATCATGCTGCTACTATAGGAGGCAGGAGACAACTGACTAGAGAAGCTCTTATCCATCAGACATATTTTCCCTTTTAAGTAGAGAATTCCAGATATTTTCTGAGGTTGACATTCAATGTTCTGTGCAATACAACTTATAGGGCTGTTCTGAAATGAGGGAAGAAACATACTTCACGTTTTAGCTAAAGAATAGGTAGCTTTCATTTAGTGATTACAACTTAGACCAGCAACTCAATTATTCAGTGAACTGTTCATTAAATGAAACCGCACTGTGATTACAATTTTATTTCACTTTTTGTTGCTTTACAGACCTGCAAGAGTTAATAAAATATAAATATTGTAATTTTTTTTATCAGCATCACAATTTGGTAGAGTGGTTAAGGCTGGCCTAGACACCAGCAGCCTGGGAGTTCTAGTTCCACCTTGGGCATGGGCATGGAAACTGGCTGGGTGATTTTGGGCCAATCACATGGTCTCAGCCCCAGTTGCCTCACAGGGTTGTTGTAGTGGGGAAAATAGCACTAGCAATAGCACTTAGACTTATAGGCCTCTTCACAGGGCTTTATAGCCCTCTCTAAGCAGTTTACAGAGTCAGCTTATTGCCCCCAACAATCTGAGTCCTCATTTTACCTACTTCGGAAGGATGGAAGGCTGAGTCAACCTTGAGCCTAGTGAGATTCGATCTACCAAACTGTTGGCAGTCGATGATTAGCAGAAATAGCCTGCAGTACTGCAGATATAGCCTGCAGCCTGCAGGAGGAGGAAAGAGTATTAGATATGTTCACTGCTTTGAGTTATCTACAAAGGTGGGATAAAAACTTAGCAGAATAAATAAGTAAATAGCTGTGAATGAGGCATTTCTAAATGAGGCATTTGCTAAATGAAGATTACCTGAACCTTTCCTTAAATAATTCAAAGTAATGACTTTTGTTTATTTAATAAAATGTCATTTGTATGCAATTCCTGGATGAACTTGAGAGACTATTTTCCTGGTTATTATGTTTACAATATCGGGCTATGTCCTGGCTTATTAAATATTGGTTTGTTGAATGAGCTGTAATTGATAGGTTAACCTAGTGCACCAAGCCAGACAAACTTCCTTATGGCTTCTCATTACCTTGGACATCAACTTACTGACTTTTCCTTGCTCTAGAAGTCTATGCCCTCCAAAAAATAAAATAAAAAATAAAAAAACCACGAAAACCAAAATCTAATAATCCTATTTCTGAAAACCTTCAGGCAATGATATTTGGCTTAGATATCTCTTTGCTATAAGTTGATGTTGTAAATCTAATGCATCTAGGTTCATCTGCTTGCTTTAGCTTCATCTATTACTCTTACTGTGTAGTATTTTATTATAAGTTACTCTATATGTTACTGCTATTAATAGCACTGCGTTTATTACTGAGTTTAGTATCGGTTCCTATTGCATGTAATGGAAGCAGTTGCACACTCTCACTTTCTTTTCAAAAATGTCATGCTGTATAAAATTTCAGTTTACTGGAAGTGTCTTTAATTATTATTGTTCCATCATACATCCATTGATTCCCAAAATGCAAGATATTTGCGACATGACTTTATACAACTGTCATACTAAGCTCATTTTACTAATCTGCTGGATATGGTAAGAAACAGAAAAAATGGTTCAGTGAAGCTAACTGAAATGTAATAATGATGTTATGATGTTTTAAAAATAAACAATGATTTATTTAAAAATTCAGGAGATGAGCAAGCTATTAATTAAAGTAACACCCAACACTAAGTAACATTCCACATTTAAAAGAGTGGTATTTCCACTGCAACTTTAAGACCATCAATCAGTTTTAATATCCATTTTACATTAATTAGTTTTGAGTATTTTCCTACTGCAGTGATACATGGATATATTATGATTTTCTCTGGAAAGGTACAGTAGATCTACATGCATACACTTATATGGAAAGACTAGCTGAATTTACTGAAGAATATTACATACAAATTATACCTCCTAGTAGCTTTCCTTAAATCACAATGGGCAATATAGGGAGAAGGGGAAGAATTGTTGCAGGTGATTATAGATGTAATATTTTTACTGTTTCCATTGGTGGGTTTCAAATTTTTTAGAACCTCTTATGTAGGTGTGGCCTGCTTTGTGGGAGTGGCTTGCCGGCCATGTGACCAGGTAGGAGTGGTTTGCCGGCCTTGTGACCGGGTGGGAGTGGCTTGCTAACTTGTAAAATGTGGTGAAACTCACTTAACAACTCTCTTGCTTAGCAACCAAAATGTTGGCTCAGAAACTCTGGCATTTGAAGCAAGCAAGTCTTAAAGCTGTCAAGTTACAAGAGCCTTGCACCCCTAACCCTTTTGAAAAAAAACCCCAGGGGTGTTCAAACTTGACAGCTTTAAGACTTGTGGACTTCAACTCCCAGAATTCCTCTTCTCGCTCTTCATCTTGATGATGTGCGGACTGGCAGGGGGAGGGAGCTGGAACTGGTTCTAAATGGCACTGTAGATTTGTGGAACCTCTTCCATAGAAAAGGTTAGAACTGGCAGGAACCCACCCCTGGTATCCACATATTGCAAAAGATCTTAAAAATTTAGAGCGACTGAAGACTGTGCATACAAATAGTTAAAATATTGCTAATACGTGGAGAAAACAAGTAAACATTTATAACAATAAGCAGAGGTGGTATTCAGCCAGTTTGGACTGGTTTGCCTGGACTGGTAGCGGAAATCGCGGGTAGGCCTGCCTACCATCCCCGGCTCTATGCTGTCCTATTTAGGCACATTTTTAAGGCCGGGTGCATGTGCAGAAGGCACACATACGAGCAAAGCACATGCGTGGAAGGCTGGATGCATGCATGGAAGGGGTGCGGGCACAGCAAACTGGTGGTAGCAAAATGTGAAACCCACCGTTGACAGTAAGCCTACTTGATTTAGGTTAATTTAACAAAATACTTCAATACTGTTATGAGAATGTTCATCTAGAATTAGAAACAAACTATCCTACCATCCTACTATCTTGCATGTCCTACTGAGGAAATGTACTGAGGTTAAGTTAATGGAATAAATCAATCATTGTTCTTTTAAATCACACCATTTGGTAAAAATGATTGAAGAAATAAAGGCAGGAAGTTGTGAATTTTGTAAAAAATATTTCCATTTCCTGACCCAGATCTGGAGTCAATGTCATTCTGGGTCTACCACATTTTTATTTGCAAAAGTGGAACACAAACACACAACAAATATTTTTCATTGATGTGTTTTAGAATTCCGTCAGTAAAACTGTTCAGAATTTGCATCGTACGTCAACTGTATTTAAAATCTCTGTCACAAGATGTATTTTGCTTTACTTCTCTGCTTTATGGACTTGCTACATGCCTAAGATTCTGGAATATTTTGTATCACCTTGCTAGCTCCAGGAATTGAACTCCCTGTATGCAGGAGTATACATCAAACATGGAAATGAAAGTTTTGCAACATTAGAACATGTTAGCTGACATTTTAAAAAATTCTCTATTTTTTAAATAAAAAGGTGAAATACAAAATAAATGAAAAAATATGTAAAGGAACATACATGAAAAATTCTATATTTATAAAAAAAAAAATCCACAAAAGTTGAAGCCATTCCTGGTATGTATTTTCCAAAGAACTGATCCAGAAAAATACGTACAAAAATGATTTCAAATAATCAAGTTCAAAGCAAATGTCTTTTGAAAGCAAAAGGAAAAATAGACAAATTGTTAGCCAACTAATGCCAGAATAAGTAAACATTTTGGAATTAAGCAATAAAGTAAATAAAGTAAAAAGAGTCCAAGTCTTCAGATGCAATTGCTTGCTATCCTTCCTCTCTGTGAATGGTAAGGCAAAGAAACCACTTTCTCTCAAGAAAGTCATGTGGGCTTGTTTTGGAAAGATTAGATCTCCACAAGTAAACTTTTCTTCCATTCCACAAATGCTACAAATCTTTGAGATTCTGCCCTGCCCTCTAAAATAGGAACAGTATTCTCTTTTTCCATATTCTGATCATGACATTTACAAATTTAGGCATGCAGAAACCTTGGGTTAGATTTTCCTCTTAAGGCAGAGCCAGTGTTATTTCTGCACAACATATTTTAGGCACAGATGTTAGGATAGGCTAGGATGGAATGGGATGGGTTAGGTAGGATAGGGTAGGACAGGACAGGACAGGACAAGTCAGAATAGAATCATAGGGCTGGAAGGGACCTTGTAAATCTTTTAATCCAATCCACTAGTCCAACTATTTTTTTGCAGAACTGCTCCTTAATGCAGCTTTTACAGACCAGTAAAAGTTGCTATTTTTACAACTTTTTTTCACCTCTTGGGAGGTTAACCGCTCTCACATAATGTGCAAGAATGTAGAAAAAACAGAAGCAAAACTTGGCTAGTAATCAACTGTGTACATTTCATGAACTTTAGAATTTGTTCTTTTCAAACTGGTGAAGCAGAAGATTTTCTCAGCATTTTTGATGGACTCTGGGTGCCACAGTTCATGAGAAATTTGCACTTATTTTGGCTTCTTTCCTATATATGTTTATTTCTGAGCAAATAGCAACAGATATGAACATGAATCACGTCAATTACGAAAACATGCCTGGGCATGATTCCTTTTAGGGCACAAATAAGATTTGGGGCCATTTTATGTTGTTGTTGGCCTTGAAATATACTACAAATTTGCAGCAGCATATTGAAGTAGAAAAGCTTAAAATAGAGGAATGGCATGTTTGTAGTCTGTGGGTTTTCCTCCTGAGCATTGTGAGTAGTTTCCATTTTTAGAAGACTAGCAAATCATGGGAAATATCCTCCCACTTGTAACAGCAGAACGACTCTATCAGGTTTCAGAAAAATGTCTTCCATTTCATTCATAGCAATTTAATGTCAATTTATAGCTGATTAGCTATAAATTGAGCGTTCCTTTGGAGAGATATCTTCAAATTTTATTAAGGAGTTAAAGATTTCTGAATTATTTTCTGTCACCTAATGGCAGATAGAATTTTGCAGCCTGAATCCGAATCTATGTACTGGAATAGAATAGAATAGAATAGAATGGAATGGAATGGAATACAATACAATACAGTACGGTACAGTACAATATAATGTTTGGCAGTTTGTTGATTGGGGTATCATTTATTTGATTGTTGGTTTGATATTAACCTTGCAGTTAATCTACAGTATGATGATCTAGATGCTGATTGCTTGTGGAGAGGTGGTTGGGGTCCACAGTGTTCCTTTTTAGACTGAGACTCTATTGCATAGTCTAGAGATGTTGTTAATGTCTATGTGTATATTGGGGGTTGATTTGTCAGAGTGCCAGGCTTCTAGAAATTCCTTGACAATTGGTCTTTCGTCAGGTACAGCCGAACAGTAAACAGCCCAACCAAAGAATCTCTACATTTCACCAGTTACATCATCAAATCTGCAGCTTTACTATTTTCAGCATTTTAATGTTTTTCTTAGGTGCTAATATTACAGTATATATTTTAATTCCACTCTTCAACATATTTTATGGAGTGGGAGAAAATAAAATTTCCTGAGGAAGAGACAAGAAAGGCCAGGAGACAAATAAAGAAAAGAGAAAGAAGGCAAAAGAAGAAGGAAAAAAAGTTCTCTGGGTTTAGAGTGAATGATTGCATAGTAATAAAGAGATTAAGAAGACATTTACCATATAAGAGCACTCAAGGATAAGTCTAAAGATAAGGGAGATTTTCCATTTATGGGCTCCACAAAACCTGTCTTGGATCCTCTATCACAGACAACCAGAAACAGTTTCTCCCTTTAATAACTATATTCTCTTCAAATTAATCTGCACCTATTTTGCAAATGCCCCCTTCCTGAAATTCACAAGTTGTTATTTTGGTAGCGAAAAGTTTCCTCTTTCTTTTGGGTACATAAATACCTTGAGTATTTAAAGCAGAAGATTATTCAGTTCCAGTTCCAGTTCCAGTTCCAGTTATTAGGAAACATGTGAACATTTGCTATATTCCTAATTGATTTATTGGTTTCTTCTTCATGTCTTGGTTGTAGGAGAAAAAAGAAAGTGAATTCAATGAACACTAGGCTGGATGATCAAGGCTCTTTGAGTTCTCATGGTCAGTTTCCTAAGGCTGAAGAGGCATTTGCTGATTTTATGTGCTTATTATATACCCATGTTTTCCCAAAAAATAAGACCAGATCTTATTTTGTTTTGGGCCCCAAAATAAGCACTAGGGTTTATTTTGGGGGTGTCTTATTTTCCCCCCATGTACGGGAGGCCCACTTCTTCTGCTTGCTTGAGGCAGGTAAGGAGGCCACATGGTGTGCAAGTGCCGCCATGAGGTGGGGGAATAGAGCTGCCCCATGCACCCCGCACCAGATTATCTCAGGGTCTCCGTAGCCAAGCCATCCATTCATCAACACCTGCTTTGCTCATGGCCGCTTCACCAGCACACTGTTCGGCCTCCTGCTCCATTGCAGCTACAAGCAAGTAAAAGAAGAGAGACGGCGGCCACGTTGGCTCCTGCTGCACATGGATGCCGGTGCTGCCATGAGACAGGTGTCAGGACATGGATGGCCTGGCTGCAGCGGCCCTGAGGTAAGCTGGTGCAGGGCACATGGAGTAGTTTCTCCCTGCCTTGCCTCATGACCGCAGCTCGGCAAGCAACCAGATGGAATGGGCTCCCAGCCAGCTACGCAGGCTCTCAAGTAGAGCTTATTTGGGGGGGGGGTATTGGGGCTTATATTAGATGCTGGTGCTTATTTTCAGGATAGGTCTTATTTTCAGGGAAACGGGTAACTTCAACAATGAAAAATATTTAATTAATAAATGCAGAATATTTGTATATTAAGCTTAATAGAGACAAACCTGTATCTTTTGCTGGTTATCCACCTCAACTTTAATCCACACTTATACTAAACTATATTTCACACATTAAAATTGGTAAAACTGGTAACAAACACAAAACTTAGTTGAGATGGATCAAATGTTACCTTGCCACATAATTCTCTAAAACAAAAATAGTATGTATCTATGTGTAAATATTTACAACATCATTATGTAACAGTTTATTTATTGACTGACAAATTCTTGAGCGATAAGAGCCAAATGCTAAAAGTGTGTGATAGATTAACATGAAACTGAAATACTCCTATAACTACAGGGGATTAGTTTTATGCTTAGGATAAGACAGGTTAAAGATGGGTTCCATAAACGGCAGAAGCCAACCTTCATAATGAATTATGAGAAATGAGTGAAAGAAAGGTTAATAAAAATTGTTTCTGCGAAATCAACATATATGATGGATACACCTAGAAGACTTTGCAGTGAGTTATCGAGGGTTCTAAACAATAAAATCATAGAACTGAAATGCTGGAAGGGGATATTTTTTTTATCAACTGAAACAGCCACAATATATTTGATAAACATAATTTTGCTTTAAATTCTCCAAGAGACTGTTCTTTCTAAAGCCATCTGCTTACTAATTAAAAACAATAATATTTTTTTTCTTGTAATTTGAAAATGTATATTCATCAGTATGGCAGATCTTTAAACTAGATTCTTGGAGTTATATAAATATGAGATATTATAGTGGACCAGGTCAGAATGAGATGTCAATTCTATGAACTTTAGGTGTAATTCAAGAATGTTTACTATTACATACATAATTATATATGGCTTTTAGAGGATGGTAGATTGGGGAAGACTAGCTTAGCATTATGATGACATAAACATTTATTGGCTGAAGATAAATAGTGACATAACTGATTATTAGCTAACAGACATGAAAGGACTGGTTTTTCCCCCTGCAGATGAAATACATGCGATGAATACGATACAAGCATTCCTATGCTGTTATTTCCACCAAAAGTTCTAACTGAACTCATTTATATGCAGTTTCACTTCCTTTTGTGAACTGCACAGTCCCCTCTTATCTATGAAAAACATGCTTTCCTCTGTAGTGTGTCTGTTTTTGATGATGTTTCCTGTTTTCTTTCTTTTACATATTTGAATTCAAAGAGAGAGCAATTCATTCAATTCTTGTTCTTTCAGTTAGACTGTGTTCTTAGTGATGCTATGAGCACTTTACATTTTATTTTACTTTTGGAGGCATATTGATTGTCTTCCAAGTAGCAAGTGATAGGCTATAATCCTTCTGTCAAAATAAATCTGTCGACCTTATTATCATTAGATGAATATTAACTAGGCACAACATATTTTGGAAGTAATGCACTTGGTATCAGTGCTACTAATTTTCAGACTCACTTTTTAAATAGTCACATCCACTTCCTGCTTCAATATTAGTAAGTTTTATTAGTAAGAACTGTATCATTCCCAGTCACTTCCTAGAATTTGTGGGGTCAATTGCTTTGGACATCAACTTGGAAAATCAAACTGCTGATTTAATTAATCATCAGAGATATAAAAATGCCTCATTAAATAGATTAAATATCCATCAAGGCCAGCATCCTGTTTGCTATGGTATGGCCAACTTTATCTCTCGAAGCCTAAAGCCTGGATGTAAACATTTCCTCTGGTTGTTCTTAGCAGATGGTAATCAGAGAAAGTATGTGGCCTCCATCACTGGTTCCTTTTAACCGTCAAAGCTATATCAGAACATAACGGACAAAAGACAGTAAACCATGGTTTATAATAGACAAGCTCATCTGATCTCAATATCTCTGAATAATCAGAAATTGCATGTTACATTAAGCCATAGTTTGTCTATCCCTGGTTATTCAATAAATTATATTTTTGGGAAGATCACGTTAGCATAGCTTCTGCAACATCAGTTAGTTGTTAAGCTTTCCCAATAATTACACAATGAGCTGAAAATGCTGTAACAAATTAATAGAAGACAAGTTTTAATTCCTCAGACAACTCATTGATTTTTTTAAAGCAATCAATATCTATTGCTAAATTTTATAGAATACAGATAAAATATTCGATATCTTCTGAAAAAGCAGCTCAGTAATAAACTGCTCATGAAATCAATAATGTCATGGATTAATCTGATCAGAGAGAGACAGTATTTTTTTTAATTAAGGGCCATATTCCTAATGAAGCAAAGAATGGATGAAGAACCAAAATTGCTGAAGTCACCCCATCTATCTTTTTAATACCTATTTTACACTGTAGGGAAGAAAGCAATTATGTTTACCAGATGTTTTCAAAATAGTATACTATAGATTATATATAGATTATATCAAGGTTTCTAGTACAAAGATATTAATAAAAATGTAAGTCACAAATTAATTGCTGTATACATGGAAATAGCAATTAGTTTGTGACTTATATTTTTATAAATACCTTCAAAGTTACCAGAAACCTTGAAATAATCTGTAATAGGCAAATGCTGCCATCTTACAAAGATAGGTGTAGAGTTTAGAATGCAGTATTGCAGGCTAACTCACTGCTCACTGCCAAGAGTTCGATTCTAACTGGCTCAAGGTGATGCAATCTTCCATCTTTCCGGGATTGGTAAAATGAGGGCCCAGATTGTTGGGGGCAACATGCTGACTCTGTAAACCACTTAGAGAGGGCTTTAAAGCACTATGAAGCAGAATATGTCTAAGTGCTATGGGTATTTTGCTATATTGCTATACCCATGGAATTGCTATATACATAGAAACCACTGCATGTGGGTACTCCCTTGTCATGTGTTATGTTTAGGTTGAGAGCTATGCTGAAGGTATATCACCAGAAAGTATACCAGAAGGATCACTCAAACTATATAGGTCTCAACCGAGAAGCCAGACTAAGAGTATCCACAAACCCATTAATCATGAGGAGACAACAGAAAAAGAGTCCCATAGTGGATTGGTTTTCTGGATTATCTGGGTTTACAAGGACCATGGCAGTTGATGTCCCTGGACAACTGTTGAGAAATAAGTTATAAGATTGGAGAAAGACCTTGGGACCTACTCTAGAAAAAACTTACTAGTAAAATTCTATAGGAAGGGTCTCAAACATGTCAGATATGGTGCCCCGAAATAGGACAAAAGGAATCCCAATTGCTGAGTCAGGAAATGTCTGGTTATACAGAGATACATCAGATAGCCATATGGAAATAGAAAGAGCAATTACATAGCAAATGTGATTCACTTAAACTACGCATCATCTGGCAAATAAATAATTATTTCCCCCCCAGAATATTGTTTCAAATAGAAACAGTGTATATAAATGATGTTTGTGGATAAGCTTGCTAAGCCATGCTAGAGAACATAAAACGATGAATGATGTCCACCTTTAGTTCTTCAGTCTAATGATGGCATATTCTGTCAATTCAATTTCTTCAGGGGGCTTGGTTCTCTGAAGAAGTTCTCCATGGCTTAATGTTGCATAAATAACTGAGTCCTCTTTATATCCTGGTAAACCTTCATTGAACTTCATGGAATTTAGACTGGTTCTAGATGCCTTCTGGTAGTTGTCTTGATTCCCATTGGGAACTTGAAACAAGCAAGGCATGGAATCTTCATTAAAGAAGGCTCCTTCATCTGAGACATGAGTCGTGCTATCATTGCAGCGTTGATTGTTCTTATAGCAATTATCAGCAGACATCACAATAACAAGAAATAAAGAATGTAATACATAGGTATAGTTAGTTGTCAGCAAACAAAAGAGTAATTACCAAACAATTCAATTATCAAATATGATGTTAATTTTAAATACTTTATAAAAACAGGAACAACATTTCTATATAATTGAACATCCTACTAAAGGAATGTGTGAAAATGTGTTATTCTCTTTTCTTTCTTTCTGCCACCATCACCCCATTTTCCTAATATTGAAATTGCAAACACTCTGGTAGTGCAAATCCATTTATGCAGTTCAGTATGATGTAATGTGACTGGTGAAATGTTAGAAATCATTAGAAATACCATATTTAGTAAACTATTGACTTGAAGGCTGACTCATCTTAAACCATGCATGAATGAAAAAATCAATCATTGTACAAATGGCAACATTCTGGAAGTAAAGCCTTTATTTTCATATATATATATAATCTGGAGAAATAGACAGAACTAAGCTAGAACTAAGGAGAACTAAGACAGAACTAACCTAAAACTAAGAAGAAATTTTGTAAGAATGAAAGCAATGAATCAATAGAACAACTTGCCTTCAGAATTTGTGGATGCTCCATCACTGGAGGCTTTCAAAAAAAGATTGGACAATAATTTATCTGAACCACTATAGAGTCTCCTGCCCGAGCAGAGGGTTGGACTAGAAGACCCTCAAGGTCCCTTCCAAATCTATTATTCTATGAATAACCAGTTTGGTCTAATGGCTAAGGCACCAGGCTAGAAAGCAAGAAACAGACCAGGCCAGAAAGCAAGAACTATAGGAGTAGGAGAAAAAATATGGCAGTTAGTAAAATATGAATTAAACCAATGGTGGGTTTCCATTTTTTTTAAACTACTGGTTCGCTTGCGCATGTTCACTCCAGGCAGGTGGATGGAGCCTCCCGCCGCTGCCACTACTGGTTCTCCCAATCCAGGCTGATCCAGGAGCAACCCACCTCTGAATTAAACTCCAAAAAAGGAAGAGAGTGTGAAAAAAATCTTGATGTGACACCACCTTAACTCTCTTTCGTATAACAGTCTGATGTCCAAGATTCTCTTACTGAAGCCTATAATAGTAAAAATCTTTTTTTGTGTGTTAAACTTATTTATGTGAATATTTGTGTGAATATTCTTATCTATTTCCTGACTTGGCATATGTTGAAAGGATGATACGAGAAGATTGTAATAGGAAAACATGATTATGTGTATTAAGTATTTGGAGATGAGAAAGGGAAGTGTGATATTCACTTAAATGTTTCAATGTAGGCGATTCATTTTTCCTTTCCTCCAATTCATCAGCGTCCTAAAACTAATGAACAAAAGGCTGGTTTTCCTGCTGATATCTCTATTATAAAAAAATATTATTTAGCTACATCTCCAATGGCACATACAGGGAAAGATGAGAATAAAAAAAATTAAAGACATGTTAATAACAAACATACCCTGTTATTTCCACTTTCTGGGTTTTTTACTTTCTGGGCGTTTTTTACTGAGAAGGAAAAGACAGTATGTTGTTAAAATAATCTTACATTGTTCATAAATATAGTTTCTCATAAAGGAAACATTTCAGTATCTTTTTAAGTAAATCAAAACTGTTTCTGAAATAAAGGTTGTTTATTTCAAATGCTAATGTACTTTTCTCTTCATTAATATTTTAAATAAACAACCTTTACTTAAGAATTTCAAAAGCATCAATTTGGTAGCCTTATCAATACTTCTAAAAACATAAAGGTAAAAGTTCCCCTCACACATATCCCCTCATTCCCGACTCTAGTGGGCTCATCTCTCTTTCAAAGCTGAAGAGCCACCGCTGTCCGAAGACGTCTCCATGGTCATGTGGCTGGCATGACTAAATGCCGAAGGCACATGGAAAACTGTTTTCTTCCCACCAAAGGTGGTTCCTATTTTTCTACTTGCATTTTTACATGCTTTCGAATTGCTAGGTTGGCAGAAGCTGGGACAAGTAATGGGAGTTCACTCCTATACGTGGCACTACGGATTCGAACCACTGAACTGCCGACCTTTCTGACTGACAAACTCAGCGTCTTAGCCACTGAGCCACCATGTCCCTTTCTAAAAGCATAGAAAATAAATTAAAAGATGACTTGAAAACAAAAGGCAGAGACTGAAAAATCCCTGATTATGGAACCAACTGAGAATTGAAAGAATGAAATAATTTATATAACATACCTTGATGCCTCCTTGTGAAATACAGCAATCCAAAGCAGCCGGCAATGAGGAACAGAGTACCAAGGGATGATATGGAATAAATCGTAATCAACATGTTGTTCTTTTCATGTAGTTTCTGATCTTCTGTGGCATTTGTAGTACTTAGAAACACGGATGAGTTACTGTGATCTATACAGACAATGCATTTAAAATTTCATTAACACTTAAAGCAATAGCAGCATGATTTTTAATAAAGGCACTTTTTGTTGCCGCTTAGTTGAAAGGAATTCTAGGATGCACTGTAGATATAATAGTATCAATTAATCTAAAATGTCAGAGAAATTATGTGAAGGAATAAATTGCAGGTTGAAACAAAATGTGTCAGTAAAGGTCTCAGTGTTGGGGATGGGGTTTTATAAGTATTCCTATTTACCTATTATTTCCTATGTGAGAAGTCTCCAAAGATGTTAATAGGTCTAGATTTCCCTGGCCCATTTCAGTCTTCACAATTATTTTTAAGCTTTTAAATATTAAGATACATCCTCTATCATGTTAGTGATTAATACCAAGGCCTGGCATTGGAAAAGTTTAATAATCCAGGCAAATTTAACAAAATCCATACAGGATGCTATGGAAAAATGAACTTTTTCAAGTAGTCTGCTCCTTGTAAGATATAGTTGTTCCTCCAATTGTGCTTGGAAGTGGACTGAATGATGTTTTTTATGTTTTCTATAACTAGTCTCTGGACCAGTTGACATTTCTAGATACTTTTCAAAAGTAGCTCATATTAGGCTTCAAAATTATGGAGCATTTATATTAGCTAGAACTAACATATCATGGAACAGACATAGTACTCTACTACTTTTTAACTGTGTGAATACAGGTTTGGCAATCTAAAAAAACCTGGTTATTCACGTTCAGGCCTATACCTAAATTGTGAACCAGAATGTGATCTCACCCTTGTGATCTCACCCTTGTGATCTCACCCTCAACAGAATAATTTTCTATTCCCTGAACATCTTGTTCCAAAACTAGCTTTGTTGGTTTTATTTTAAGCTTAAATTTATTACCCTTATCTGGTCTGTTAACTACATTAGTCACTTTAAAAAAAAAGGATTAATAATAGTTTTTTCCAGCAGTATAGCACAGATAATCATATTGTTGATGATAATGTTGATTTTTAAAGCAAAATAACAAAAAAGAGTCATTAGTAGACAATATCAGCAGATTGAATGAATTATTAATATTTTAACGTCTGTATCTTTCCAACTTCATAACTTGTCCTACTCCCAAGGCATTATGCTGAACTATGTGAAGATTGGTGGAGCGAGAGCTTTAAATGATAAACTGGATAAATATTGCCTGAAAACTTACCTTGAACAATTAATTCTACAACATGACTCGGAAGTATTCTTTTACTTAGTATTGCTTCACAACGATATTGTCCACTGTCATTTTTATGAACTGATTGAAAATTCAAAACAAACGTTTTTTCATTTCTCCATGAAATGGAGCGTTGTTTTTCAGAATTCAACATATGGAACTTCTTTTCCCTCCTGTTCAGCATATGCCAATTCATTTCAGGCTTCTTGATGCAGTAGATCACTGGGCACTCTAGCATGGCTGAGTCACCAAGATTACTATAGTATTTTGTACCTCTTTCAATAGTAATGGTGGTGCAGTTATCATCCTCAGAATCTGAGAGAGAAAAGCAAGATGGAAATTATGCTTTGCATAACATATGTATCTCGGTAGTAGCAATGCATGCAATATCTAACAGACATCTTTTATCACTTTTTGTGTGGGATTTTTTTCCCCCCTTTCACGAGTTAATTTGTTTTGTAAGTCTTATTTAAATGTCAGGAACACATAGGCATTTGAACATGATGATAATAAACTTCTGCCTTCAGTGACCAATGAACATATTTAGAATTATACAAAGTTGTCATAGGGTTTATATTGGCCTTGGGACTACTAATTTGTTCCAATAAAAAATGCTACCATTGCTGAGTGGTTAGAAAGCCAGATACGAAAGTTAGAATTCCAAAGGTTAAGGATCCAAATTTATGAATAGTCTTCTTGACATATAAATCAACTTCCCTGCCATTAGAACACCTAATGAGGCTTCTGTTCCCTTACAGTCTTAAACAATATAGCATAGGGAATAGCAACAAGTAAATTTAAAGTCCCCAGTCTCTTACAGACATTGAGAAAAGCCCAGGCCTATTCCAGATTAAGACTCTCAATTATCATTACTCACCACCTCTAAAATAACAGATGGAAAAGTTTGCTTCTTTAAAAAAAAAAACACACTAATTTAAAGACTACTTTTCAATGTGAAAGACAAGTCAAATAATTCCTTTTCTTCATCCTCCTGTTTGACTTTGAAGGTCACTTTTCTAAATAAATGCCAAAAAGCTGATAGTATAGCTGTTACTGAGAAAAGCAGAAATGATTAAAAAAAAACATTGCAAATACTTGAAAGCTGAATTGAAATGAGGTGTCTGAAGTTTGAGAATCGAAACCCATCAGTGTGTTATATCAGAGTTTCCCAATCTTCCCAGTTTTGCAATTTTGGGAAGTGGGGGGGACAGGATGGTTCTATGAGAGTGACAGGCAAGCACATGCAGCTTCATTTGCGTGAGTGTGGAGCATGTGTTGGTGTGGTAGCCTGCTGCTCACGCAAGTGAGGATGCGTGTGCATGTGCTTGCCGTTTCCATGGCCTGGTTGCAAACAGCTCATAGACCAGTAGTGGGTTGCAGTCCAGAGGCTGGGGACCTCTGACGTATATAACTTTTGAGACATGTAGAAAAAGAAGTTACAATAGGTGAAATAGGACTTTTGCTGATTTATTTGTGCTAAAAACACTGTAGGTTTAAAGTGGAAGCAATTCATGTTTTCAGACTTGGGAGTTAATTCTTTGGATGTGTAAAAGTATTATTAAAATTTGCAAGGGAAGAGCCTAATAATTCTCTTTTGACGTTTCACATGAAACTTACAAACTTTTTGATAAATATATAAATAGTCTGTGAAACTGTAAATTTGGATTCGTGTTCTTCTTTTTTTTGCCCATTCTAGAGCAAATTCTTTTAAAAAATCTTCATGTTTTGGGCCTAATTGCTGGTGTGGTATGTTTGTATGATTATGGTGCGGGTACATATATTCACAGAAGTAACTGTCAACCATTAATCAATAACTCTAATCTTAATACTTGGGGGAAGGACAATGGTGGAAGAGAGATAATCAAAATAAGTGGATGTAATTTATTGGTGCACAAAACTTGCACCAAGGGAGGAAACATTCGGAGGGAAAGGAACAAGAGCCTAAATTTGTATTGCAGATAAGGATGTTAGATACAAATACAAGTAGGAAAGAACTGAGAGAAAAATTCATCTTCCCTTTCCAAGACTTAGAAATATATATTATAACTTCTCCTCTTACTATTTCAATTCCTCATGTGTAGTATGTCAACTCATTTGAAACAACTAACCTTTGTTCTTTTCATGTGGACAAGAAAAACAGAAGTTAAAGGAGAAGTGGAAACCCATAGGAAACCATATTTTAAGGGGAAGCAAAATTCCTCTGATCAAGACAGAGGAAACATTCATATGTAGGCTAAGCCAGGGATTCTCAAATCTTTTGTGCACAATTCTCTACAGTGATAAATATATTTGTCTGCTTTCCCCATTAGAATTTATTTCTGCTGCTATCTTGAGACCAGGTTCTCACAAGGTTCCAGCAATACTAGATTAACGTTTGAATATTCTCTTCCCAAGAACCAGATCTAGAGGTCCACATTGCCTGGCTGATAGCAGGGTGTACATCTAGGAATGGTGACCACAGACAGGCCTGGATTTTCCTATAGGATAACTAGGCTTCAGCCTAGGGCCTCAAGATCAAGAGGGGCCTACATTCAAATTGTTAGCAAAATTAAAAT